CCCTAAACCCTAAAAACCCTAAATCTCCGAGGCTTCGCCTTCGCTGCGATTCCAACGGGGACGACTTGCCCGGAGGGTTCCTCCTCTTCCCTCTGATTAGTGCGTAGGGGTTTAGGGTTTAGGGGTCCCTAGATTAGTGCGTAGGGGTTTAGGGTTTAGGGTTTAGGGTTTTTAGGGTTTAGGGTTTAGGGTTTAGGGTTTAGGGGTCCCTAAGGGTCCATGTGCCTAAATAGTATATACTTTGGCCTTAAAGTAGTCCTTAAGGGACTACTTTGGGGCCAAAGTATCTACTATTTGGGTACATGGACCCTTAGGGTGTGTAGGGCTTTAGGCTTTGGGGGCTTTAGGGTTTTAGGTTTGAGGGCTAGGGATAAGTGATAATCCCAACTCCCAGCCTTTACAAGGGGCCTCTTGGAGGGTTCCTTTGAGGAGTTCGTGGTTTACCATCAGGTTTAGGATTTCAGGGTTTAGGGTTTAGAGTTTAGAGTTTAGCAGGTGTTGGGGTAAGTTTATTGTGTTCAAGATGTTAGGAGCCGGATAGCTCTCATTACCTACATGGCATATACCTATGCTGTAAAGGATTCCCTACGTAGATATTTTTTGAACCTAAACCCTAAGCCCTAAACCCTACCGAGACAGCCTTGGAAGCCCAGCAGAAAACGGCCGAAGAGAGCACGCAGATCTTGGTGGCGCCAATGGAAGTGGCCCAGATCCTTCGCACAGCTGGATACATGAACATCGTCGAGCTGCCCATCGATCTGGAAACCTATGCCATTCGATTGTCGGCTGCCATGGAAACCTTGATGCGGAGCGAAATGTCCGCAGAGGACTTTGTCCAGGCGCACAAGGTGGGGCCGTTCTCCAGATTGATGGAGTCAAACTTCCCGTTCGGCCTGATCAACGAACTGGAAGACCGCGCTGTCGAAAAGGACAAGGAGATTTTGACTCTTGCTTTCAACCCGATCAGAAAAAAGTCAACCCTGGCGGAGAAAGTCCTGACCTGCAACAAAGCCGGAGTATAAGCCAAATTAGATGGGCACATGGATCCTTACCTTACGACAAGTGTCGGTTTTGTACGGTGTGGTGATTTTTCGCGGTGATTTTAGGCACGATGGTGTTCGGACCTAAACTCTACACCCTAAACCACGAGGTCATCTTGTGCTGTCCTGTAAATGTAGGGTCTGAGGGTTTAGACCTGCAAGATGTTCCAAAAGCCCTACGGGTCCATTAGGTAGTGAGGTTCTGGGTGTAGGGCTAGGGGTTTAGGAGTTAGGGTTTGAGGGTTTAGGGTTTGGGGTAGTGGAGTTCAGATAGTAGTTGTGTAGCTTATAGCATGTGGGAGAATGTGATCATGCAATGCTCGGGCCCTGAAGCATAAGATGAGAATTAGAGTGTGTTTAGCAAACGGCCCAAGCAATCCGTAGTTCAAGGAGTTCAGGCCCAATAATCTGATTTGAGCTGAGGTCGATGAGGTTGAGGGTGTTTCGGCTGCCGGTGCATTCCAAGCATAGGCACCTGGCGCTTAGTCTACGTTTGTGCTCCCATGCACCTGCAAAAACGGTCATGCGACTTAGTAACTACGGTTGCAAACAACGTAACTGAAATATGTTAAAGTTAATTACATGTTTATACGAGGTGCTGGTAGCCCCTTCCTTACCGCGTGCCTGCATCCTCCAAGTGTCATACCCAAATCTTCAAGGATCCTGATCTAGGACATTTTCAGGTGGGTAGCTACCGTTATAGGAGCCTTATAGAAGGTCTATATACCTTATGGAAGTTTTATAGAAGCCCTATATACCCTAAACTCCCCACCTGTAGCTTCCTTGAACTAAGCCCTAAACCCGAAACCCTAAACCCTAAACTCTAAACCCTATAAACCCTATATACCCTAAACTCCCGGCCTGTAGTTTCCTTTAACCTGACCCATGCAGGATGCTCCGAGCCCCAATCGTTCTACTTAGCAGAGTCTAGATCCGGAGCCCGAAATCCTAGTCTGAAATCCTAATCCGCAATCCACGACGGAGGTTCCTAGGATCCTCAGGGTACCCCAGAATATTGGAGCCTTTGCAGCCTTAGGAATTGTTGATCCTAGGTTTTAGCATCCTTATCTTAAGGATCTGAGTAGCATTGGCAATTATTCAGGTTTCTATGTGACACGGGCCTGATCAGGGTGTAGGGGTTTAGGGCTCACAGCGGGTCCTATGTACTGTTATGGGGGATACTTCCCTAAATCATAATAGTAAGTCCTCACATAGAAACCCTACATACTACTATGTAGGTCGATAGGACCCTTTAGGGTACAAGGGTTTTTATACAGCCAAGCACCCCTAAGCCAGAAGTCTGAATCATTAGACTAGGGTTTTCGGTGCTGTATATACTCGAAAAATGACAAGAACCCCAGAAGGTTTAGGATTTGAGGTTTAGGGTTTAGGGTTTAGGGGTCAACGTTTAGGGTTTTCGGGTTTAGGTTTTCCAGATAAGGCCACGGTGCGATAAGGGTCACGAGCAGACTTCCAGATTACCGGTTGGGCGTTGGGTTTACCGCTTACGGGAGCTTATGGGGGTACCTCTTACCATGGCAAACCAGGGTTTAGGGTTTAGGGTTTAGGATTTAGGGTTTAGGGAAACCCTAAACCCTAAACCCTAAACCCTAAACCCTAAACCCTAAACCTCTTACCATGGCAAACCCAGAAGCTCCACCTATAGTACCATTATGGAATTAGGTCCCGAAAGACCATCCTTATTAAGGTTTTAGGGTTTAGGGTTTAGGGTTTAGGGTTTAGGGTTTAGGGTAACCTCATTCATAATGGTACTATATATGGAGCCTCTGGGAAACCCTAAAAACCCAACGCCACAAACACCTGAACCCGGAACCCCAAACACCCCAGACGAAGTCCTGGCAGCAGAGTACAACCCTCAAACCCTGAGCCCCTGAACCGTAAATCCTAGACCCGGGATCCTCCGTTCTGAACCCTAAACTTAGGGTTTAGGGTTTAGGGTTTAGGGTTTAGGGTTTAGGCTTTTGGGTTTTTTTGGGTTTAGGGTCCCTAAACCCTGAACCCTAAACCCCACTTTCAAACCGAGGTCAAATCCTGGAGCCAGAGCGAGACGAAGAGGGCTTTCAACGACAGTTCCTTGGTTCTGTGAGAGCTTCGGGAAACAGAGCGGCCTCTCTATTTGGGGTTTAGGATTTAGGGTTTAGGGTTTTAGGGTTTAGGGTCTAGATTTTAGTGCTTTAGGGTTCAGTGCTTAGGGATTTACGGGCATAGGCCGTAACCATTAGAATAGCGCCCTAGGCTATGTTGCGCTATGACTGTGCTGACCCCAGAGCCCTAAGGAATCAATAATACTGGCTTTTCTGAAAATTATTCCTACTAAACTTTCAATCGAATACTGAAGGCACAGATCTGCGCGATAAGCATGCCTCTATACTTGAGTGTTGGGGGACTCGACAAGTAGGTTAGTAAAGCGGTAGACTTATATGAACCCGAAGGGCATCCTTATTTGGGTTGTGATACTTATACGCCCGTAAAATAGCTACCTGGTAAGCCCCGACAATTTCTTATCGAACCCATTGAAGGAGCCCCTTAAGGAGCCTTACTTACTGAGTCCCCGACCCTCCAAGTGGTGCGGGATGCCTGGGCCAGTAGCAATGCAGAAACTTTGGGTGGTGTGGCTGCGCTGCAAGGTTCTCGGGTACTCTATAATTAGATGGGTTCTTGAAGGGTTCTGTCAGGGTTTAGGGCTTATAGGGTTCTCTGAGCTCTGAAGGTTCAGGGTTTAGGGTTCTCTAAGGGCGCTTGAAGGGTTCTTTAAGGGTTTAGGGTTTCTTAAGGCTCTTGAAGCGGTTCTGAAAGGGTTCAGGGTTTAGGGTTCTCTAAGGGTTCTTGGGGGGTTCTCTAAGGGCTTGGGGTTCTTGAAGGGTTGTTCAAGGGTTTTAGCTAAGGGGTCTTTAAACTTCTCAGCGCGTTAGGGTCACAGTGTTTAGATTTGCGGTGTTTCGGGCTTCACATGTTGGGATTTACTTACGGCATTAGGGATTGTAGCAAACCCTAAACCCTAAACCATAGCTTGTGTTGGTTACATTGTCTCTTTGTTCTCTTTGTTCAAACTCCTCGCCGTTTAGCAGAAGTCTCGAAAGGCACTCCACTGAAGAGCTGAATTCAAAGCGTTGAAGCACACTACTTACCCCAACGGTCAAAAGCACATAAGAATTTGGTACTTACTTGGGTTTAGCATAGTAGGTTTTTTGTAGGTCAAGAGTTGGAAGAGTGTATGGCCATTGGGCACTTGAGAACCCGTATAGGGTATATCAAGCCCATCAAGCCTACAAGATGCTCGGGTTACCCGGTAGGACATACCAAGGGCTGGGAACTATAGCTCTGACTTGTGGTACTTGCCAAAGGACCCGAAGCCCTAAACCCTTAAACCCCAAGGCTCCAATCCTGAACTCTAGCTTGCAGCACTGGTAAGTTTGCAAGCCTTATGCAAGCCTTAGACCAGGGTTGTAGGGTGTTTAGAAGCTTGAACCTAAAGGTATCAGAATGTGGCAGTTGCTGAGACATGCCCCTATAAATCCCAAGCCATCGGTTTCCCCGGGTTATCTATACCGTATGGGAATCACCTCAAACCCCAGTCGGATCAAAGATGCCATGTGGCCCTTGCAAACTTCTGAATGCCACGCCGGTTTCAGGTGCATTCCCTTCCCGGAGAATTTGAAGACGGCTTTAACAGGAGTGGAGCTGAAGGCACTTTTACGATTTATGGTCGCATGTTCAGGCATTTCGCTCTACTGCTTAGTGCTCCAGGTTTAAGCTTAAGGGTTCATGCAGGGTTTAAGCTTCCTGACTTAAGGGGGTGGTGCCTGGTTGGACATTGCTTCGCGCCGTTCAATTGTTTGCGGATCAGGCTGGGATGCTTCTGTTCTGCAGTTCTTCGGTTGCACGGGTTCGGCATCGCTACTCTAAGTGCACTGTTGCCCAAGCTGCAAGCCCTACGTCTTGAACTCTAACCGGACAAAGTGCTGAACCAGTTTGGACAATTGGAACAAGTCAAGGTGACCAAGTGACGGAGTTTATGGATAATGCCTATCACATGTCTGACCAGCTCAAGGATCCTATCCTGAATCCTGAACCCTAAGCTAAACCCCAAACCCCTAAACTCTAAATCCTAAGCCTTTTTAAACCCCTAAGCTACTACCTATAGTCTCCATTGTAGTTCCTTTTTTGGTTTAACCAAATATATATTAAGGATTCTATAAGGTATCCCCCAAAAGGAATCCCTAAGCTAAACCCCAAACCCCTAGACTCTAAATCACCTAAACCCTAAACCCTAAACCCTAAATCCTAAACCCTTAATAGGCCCTAGGCCCGAACCCTAAGCCCTGAGACTGACACCATCATGAGCATTTCGAACCCCGACGGCCCGAGCCTGCACCCTAAACCCTATACCCTGTACCCTAAACTCTATACCCCTATACCCCAAACCCTAAACCCTAAACCCGAAGAGCCTTAAACTTGCTAAGGGCTAGGGTTGGGTTTTAGAGTGCTTCGTATTTCCAGGTAAGTCATGGGAGCTTTAAGAATTTGCGCGACGCCACTGGTATACTTTTTTGGTGTTGCTTCCGTTTCGGGGGGATACTGTGTTGATTTACATAGGGCTCTCCGAATGTTGGCGTTGGGTTACCTGCCAAACGGAGTACGACCTTAAGCTTACCAGGGACTTACTTGGTTTTATGTAGCCGTCTCGTAGGCTCCTATGAAAGGCTGTACAAGGTTTCCAAAGGTGTATAATCAAGCTTTTTTTGAGGGCTCCAAAAGTTTTGGCATGAAAACGCCGAAAAATCACTCCGCTGACATGTATCCGCTGAGCAGGCAAGCTTGAGCCCTTTCGGGGGTTTAGAGCCCCGAAGCCCTCAACCCCAAACCCCTAAAGCCCTAAAAGCCCTAAACTCGTCAAGCCCTAAACCTTCAACCCTACCCTAAACCCTAAACCCTAAACCCCTAAACCCCTAGACCCTAAACCCTAAACAAAGTATAATCCAGGAAGGCCACCCCAGGCCCTGCAAACCTCCAGGGACACTGAAAAAGTGCGGTCTGTCCCCACAGTTACTATTATCCCTACACGGTGGTATTAGGGTTTATAAGTAGGGTCTACCTATAGTCTTCATTGTAGTTCGTTTTTTGGCTTAACCAACCCCTCTCGCGCTGGTCTCTGCCGCTAGTTGCAGGCATTGGGCCATTCACTCAGAGGGAAAACTGTTTGTGAGTTTGCGGTCAGGGGGGTGGCAGACTGTTTGCCATCGGTGGAGG